CCCAAAGGGGCCGCGACCCACAGGCTGAGAACCACTCTAGGAGTATCTGTCTATATACCCCAGAGACAGCAAGTTGCCCACTGGATCAAGGATGTGGCCATGGCCAAAGCCAGAATGCTTTAACCCCATAGAAATTCTGTCTTCACCTAAGGCAGGTGACTGAAACTAAGGAGCGGGAACGTGGGAATGACTCCGAGCCACAGAGCTTAGTTTTTTTCAGTTCAAGTAAGCACTCCTCCCCCCACCCCACCCTCTCCTTTTTCCACCTTTGTCTTAGCAGTGGCAGTGAACTAGAACCATTCTTGCTTTGTTTTCTTTGTTTGCATTTTTGGTCATTTGCTCTAATTGAAGACAATTTACTGTAAGTTCCCTCCCCTCCTGTTAAGGCTGTTCCCAACCCACAGTGACCCTACAGGAATTGCCCCTTTGGGTTTCTGAGACTGTAAGTCTTTATGGCAGGAGAAGGCCTTCTCTTTCTCCCACAGAGCACCTGGGGGTTTCAAACTGCTGACCGTGCATTTAGCAACCCAATGGGTCACCCACTACCTCACCAGGGCTCCTTGTGAGCTCCCATTACTGTGCATTGGAGAAAAATACAATGATTCTTCTACGTAAAATCATGCTGCATGTACCTTGTCCACCTCCCTGTAAATGTAGGCGAGAACTACTAGGAAGACAATGAAAAGTTGTTTGCACGAGGTCTTGATGATTCCAAGAACTGTTTGAATAAAGAGGAAACTACAAATTAGAGAAGTTCTCCCATGTTTAATAAAATTCTGATGTGTTGGAAAAATACATAGTAAATTAACTTGAGACAAAATGAAATTTCTCTTAACTAGATGATAGAGGAAACAGGGAATTGATCATTTTTATTATGGCAGTAATTAAAATAAAAATAGACTTAAGTCATGACTTGTAAAGTTAAAATGTATATAAGTAAATTTATACTATTCAATGGACTGATTACTAACAAATGGTCTTTTAAAACTTTTATTGAAATTATGATAAAGTTGATGGAGCACTCTCCATCAACTAAATTGGGAAAATGAACTACAGTCTTTCAAATTCATTCTACTTGTAAAGCATTTATTTAAAGTTAATCTAGAAATTATGCATTTGTTATATGCAGTGCAACTCTGCATATAATATTTGCAGGTATGCATCATTTAACGTCCATGACATGTTTTGCCAAATAGGACATTATGTGATTTGAGCCTTGTGTGAACACTGCAGTAGAACCCTAGGAGAGCCTTGCTGTTTCCTGAGGCGGCTGCAGGAGCAAAGCTAGAGGAAGTGAGCAGGGAGGATGCAGATCATGCCTGAGCAGCAGGAACAAGTTAGCCCTGCAGCCACCACCACGTACCTGCCAGATAGACTCAAGAGCCATGTCCTGTGCCTCACCTGCCTATAGGCCATCCATGTCCTATGCCGCACCTGCCTACAGGCCACCCATGTCCTATGCCGCACCTGCCTACAGGCCACCCATGTCCTATGCCTCACCTGCCTACAGGCCACCCATGTCCTATGCCACACCTGCCTACAGGCCACCCATGTCCTATGCCGCACCTGCCTATAGGCCACCCAGGGTCCACTGCTGTAAGAGTCAGAGTCTGGGGTCTTTAAAAGCATTGGGGGGAAATGATAAGCAAAAGGAGAATTGTTTTCCCTTAAAAAAATAAAGGAAATCTTACGGGACCACAGATATATATGTGGTCAGACATATATGTATGGAAGGAACCTCAGACATCTAGACTAAATTTTTTAGTTTCATGATTTCTTTACTTTCTTAAAACTGGAGGACTCGTAAAAGCTGTAGGGTCCATGGCTTTGAGAATCGCCACTCTACCCCAGTTTCTCATGTAACACTTGATGAGGTCTAACAAAGAGTGGGCAATTAACTGAAGGGAGTGATTACCAAAGAGAGTGGGCGATTAACTGAAGGCCACACTCTTACTGACAGAGCCAGAGATGCAATCCAAGTGTTCTCACTCCTGACCCAGTACTCTTTCCAGTGTTCAGAACATCGACTTCACAGACGAGAGATTCAACCCCAAAGGAAAAACTGCATCTTAAACACATTGTGCAGCACACATTCCAACAAAAGCGCTCTGAATTATCTTTAGAACAGAATAAGGCATGAATAGATGACAGCTACACCTATGTGCTTATCTGAGTTCTCTGTTCTGCTTGAAATGACTAACACGTCAGAGGCAGTGTGGTCCAAAAAGAAATTGTAAGCCTGTAGTTTTCAAACATAGTACATTCATATGAACCACTGGGGCAGGGTGGGGCTGGGCGGGGTTGGGGGAAAGGGGGCAACAGAAAACTAACGTGTTTATTCTATTGGTTTGATTTTCTTAACAGCTAATGAAAATAGGGTCCGATGTTGAATTGTTACTCAGAAAATCTGTTATACAAGGTATTCACACAGACCACAATACACTGAGTAAGTAAAACTAAAGAAGAATGATGTAATATCTTTTAAAACATTGAACAGTTACGTTGGGCTTTTAATGCTAAGTGGTAAAATAGTTTGATTTCCCCAAGTATTGTAGTATACATTATATAGATTTGTAAGGCCATAGTATAAAATGCTAAATTATGAAGCTATTTTACCAGATTTTTTGGTTTGGGGTTTTGATTTTTTTATTTGTTTTCCTTTTCTTTTTTACCCCAGTTATACTGCAAAACTGTAATTACAAAAATGATAATGATTTTTATCATACTTATTTAGGGGTCTTAATTTGTCTGGTATCACTTACCACTCTCCTAATCTAAGTCTGTTTCTCTAACTTTCACTTCACAGTAAAGTCCCTTTAATTCAGAAGATTAGGGCTGATAGGAAATGGAAATAATAGTGGAGCATCCTCCATTTTACATCCATACTCCTGGTAGAGGTTCAGCAGTATCTCAGTCCACATTATATTTTGGTTTAATATCTAAAATGTATTTGGTAGGGCGAGGGGAGTGACATTCAACAACTTTAGATGGCTTCAAAAAGCAACAACAGCATGATTGAATGCACAAACAGAAATGAGCACAGTTTAAAATAATAGCGCTCGCTGTATTTTCACAAGGGGAGTAGCCGTGTATCTAACATCTCTGCTCGACAGCATTCCCAGCAGTCCCCAAGGCCACGCATGGCTCATGCTCCTCTCAGTCACCTTCCTGCAAGGGTAACTGATCCTTTTTTACTTTTCCTATCCTTATTTTTATCATCACAGATTAGTTTTGCTCATGTCTAAACTATATATAAATGGAAGCATAGAGGATTGCTGTTTTGCCCAATTTCTTCCCTCAACATTTTGTTTTGGAGCTCCATCTGTGTTGTGTGAAGTAACCGCTGTGTAGTGCCATTGCTTGAATATACCTTAATTTAGCCATTGTCCGGTTGTTCACTTTGGCTTCCTCCTAATTTAGAACTGTAGTGAATAAGGATGTTCTGAATACTCATCTTTTACATGCTTTTTCCCTTCCTGGATATGTCTGTTTATACTTATATGCACAGACATACTTATATACACCAAACCAAAAACCAAATTCAGTGCCACCGAGCGAATACTGACGCAGAGCAGCACCGTAGGACAGGGTAGAACTGTCCTGTGAGAGTCCGAGACGGTGACTGTTTACAGGAGTAGAAAGGCCCGCATTTCCCCCATGGAGTGGGCTGGTGGTTTTGAAATGTCGGCCTGGCAGTTCCCAGCCCGGCTTGCAATCACTACACCACCAGGACTCCGACTTCCGTACACAGAGGACTTCAAACCGTTTGTAGAAAAAGCTCACTCTCTATTCCTTCCATTTGGGTATAGACCTAGGACTGAATTCCTGAGTCACAGTGTATGCGTTAATTCCACATTAGTAGGTACCACTAACCAGTTTTCCAAAGTAGTTAGACTAAATTTCATTTCCAGTAGCAGTACCAACTACTGCTGTAAATCATAGGTTCCCAAACTTATTTGACATACCGCCACCTTGTCAGAAAAAAATTTACTCAGCACCTCCCTGGAAACTAAAAACATTTGTACTATAGCCTATCATCCAGGGTAAAGTATAGGCCTCTGCCTTTGCATGGCCCCTGGATCAGCTCACTGTCCCCAGGGGGCAGTATCACCTACTTTAAAACTGAAAAACACCTCCATCTACTCCATGTCGACTCACAGTGACCCTATAGAAAGGGTACAACTGCCCCTGTGGGCTTCCAAGACTGTAACTTTTTACCAGAGCAGAAAGCCCCATCTTTCTCCCACAGAGCTACTGGTGGATTTGAACTGCATCCCTTGCAGTTAGCAGCCCAACATTTAACCCACTACAACACAAGGCTGCTGCACTTAGGGAGACATGGCTCTGATCCTCACCAACACTTGGTACTTTCTCTCTCTCTTTAATTTAGCCTTTCTGGTGAATATGTAATGGTATTACCTTATGATTTTAATTTTAATTTATCTGGTAACTAATGAAATTGACCACCTTTTCATTTGTTTAGTGGCCATTTTGAAATTCTCTTACGATATATGTCTTCAGGCTTTTGCCAATTTTGCTATGGGATTGTCTGCCTTTTTTTTTTCTCCCCTGCCTCCTGTCTGCCTTTTTATTTATTGATTTAAAGAAATTATATATTCTAGATACAAGTCCTCTGTTAGAAATATGTATTGTATGAAGCTTCTTATTTTTGTGGTTTGCACTTTTCTTTTTGGTGTCCTTCATTTTAATGAAGTCCAGTTTATCTCAATTTTTTTTCCTTTCTGATTAGTACTTTTGAATCCTATTGAGAAATCTTTACCTGGGGGGAGGGGGCAGTGGGGAGGGAGAGGGAAAATGAGCTGACACCAGGGGCTCAAATGGAAAGTGGGTGTCGTAAGAATGATGAAGTCAACATATGTACTGAAGTGCTGGACACAGATGACGTATGTACAGATTGTGATGAGTTGTATAAGCCCCTAATAAAATGATTATTTAAAAAAAAATCTTTACCTATCCCAAGCAAAGGTCATGAAGAGATTCTTGTATACTTTCTTCCAAAAACTCTACTGTTGGATGTTTTACAGTTGGTCCTTTGCATCAGCTTTTGGAGTAAAGAAATTAACTTTTCCCAAAGAGTTGGTCTTTGTCCTTGGAGCCTGACAAGGACCCTCTAAAACCTTGGCTTTCCCCAGGTTTTGAAGTATCTTTGATGAGGACTCTGGACTACACCTAATAGCTCATTATTCATAGTGGATGGGGGCTGACTGTGCGCGAAAGACCTGCCATGTGCATCTTATCAACCTTGTGGCATTGACCTCAGAATATCAACTGACCTCAGGGGAGAGGAGCTAGAATTAGAATGAAGTAATAAAACCCCCAATTAAAGTTCGGGACTCTTAAGCTCTATAAGCTAACAAGGTAGTGAAAGACAGTGGTACATGCAGGAGGATAGTCCATTCTTTCTGGAACATGAAAGCTTTGCTTTGGGAACCCTCCCTAACCTTGCCCTATGCTTCTTTTTATTTGTATCATTTTTGCTAATAAAATTAAAATTTTCTGTAGCTTAACCCATAATCCAGGAGCCCTGGTGACATAGTGGTTATGCATTGGGCTGTGATCTGCAAGGTTAGCAACCACCAAGGCTCCAAGGGGGAAAAACTGGGCCTTTCTACTTCCGGAAAGACTTACAGTCTTGGGCAGTTCTAACCAGTTTTATAGGGTTGGTATGAGCCAACATCAACTTGGTGACAATGAGTGGTTTTTATAGCCCATAATCTAGAATGAAGTATAAGTATCTGCTTTTGCCACTCTGGATCATTCCAGCACCCCTGGGGACAGTATTATGCACTTTGGGAAACAGCACTAGAGCTAGCGCCAACAACCTGAACTGTGAGAAAATACATTTCTGTTTGTCAAAGCCACCCTTTTGTGGTATTTCTTGTATAATTGCATGAGAAAACTTAGATAATGTGAGAGTGGGCAAGGTTCATTTTTCATATATATTTTTCAATATCCTGTTGATTTAGCATCATTTATTGAAAAGACCATGCATTCCTTACTGCACTAAAGGGTCACCTGTGTCAAGTAACTATGTATGTGTGAATCTATTCCCAGAATTTATAGTTCATCAGTTAATCTGATTTCCTCTCCTTACCATACTGTCTCCATTACTACAACCTTATAATAAATCTTGATATCTGGAAATGTAAATCTAAAGGGCTTTGAAGAGGCATTTTTAGATAATAGGAATTTATCAGAAATTATTCATATTGTATTTATATGGACAGCAAAGGTACTTAATCCTCATGTAAACTTTATAGTCACAAGCTATGAATCTCCAAATGATCTTTAGAGTTTCTATTCAATATAACTGATGTTTTATACAGATAATTACAGCTCAATGTTATCTTTTATGTCAGATAAGTACATTTGATATCTATATTTTAAGTGTTAGATATAACAAGGTTGATTTAGACTTCTTTTTTTCTGTATAATTTTATTTTCCTACAGGATCTAAAATGTTAATCTTCATCATGATTGTATATCTTGCTCTATATACTTAATAATGGCTGTTTCTGTCTATTAACATTCAAAATTAAGTATTATATGTAAGCCTCTTTTCCCTATTTTATGTGGCAAACTTGTTATGCTAATTTCTGTTTTAAAAATTACTTTATGCAAAATTCTTCCTAATATTTTAATAGCACTTATACAGGTACATAGAGAAGAGAGGAATTTAAATCCTGCTGTGGGGGCTAGAAAGGGAAAATTGTGATGGTGTGTTTCCAAAAGGCATTATAAAGTGTCCCAACATGAAAAATGATAGAAAACAAAAATAATAAAATACCCTTACTTCCTCTGTAAGAGCAATCACATTGTATGCCTGAATTCTAAAACCAGTATTTTCTCCCCTTTCAAATCACACCTACATTCAAAATTAAGTATTGAATCCCAAGCAAGAACTTTTTACCCTAACCAATATATTTTTTTCCATTAAAAAAATTGCCCTTATCCTTCCATGTGATTTCAAGTTTCATTATTATACATGATTTAACCTTTTGAATACCACTTCATATTTTAAATCTTTTTTTTGAATGGTAAAAATTATTTTCCCCTAATATTTCTACTTTTAGTTTTCTATTACTCTCAAGTGTGTGAATTTGGATTAATCATAATTTTTTATTCATAGACTTTTCATCATTGGTTTAGAAAACTCAGACCTGTCTATTACTCGTCAATTTTTAAGGCCTTCACTGGCTCCCTGAACTCCTATCAGTAGGGAGTAGACTATGAAAGCTACAGAGCCTCCCAAAAGGCCCCAAGTACGGGCATGTTCCCCAGACAAGAGAACCAGGAGCCTTGCAGGACATTGGACATTGGAGAGTCTTTAGGTCCCCAGAAAACACACTTACACAAAAATCCCAAACCTTCTGCCATCGAATTGTTTCCAACTCATAGTGACCCTTCAGGACAGAGCAGAACTGCACCCTGGGGTTTCTGAGGCTGTACATCTTTATGGGAGCAGACTGCCTCATCTTTCTCCCATGTGATGACTGGTGGTTTTGAAACCACTGACCTTGTGATTGGCCGTCCAGCAGGGCACCAAGCTGCCAGAATAAACACTACTCGCCATTGATTCCGACTCATGGCAACCCTATAGGACAGACTAGAACTGCCCCTGTGGTTTTCTGAGACTGTAATTCTATGGGAGTTGAAAGCCTCATCCTCCCAGAGTAGCTGGAGGGTTCAAACTGCTGACCTTGCAGTTGGGAGCCCAACGTACAACAATATACCACCAGGGCTCCTCCACACAACAGAATGAAACCCTGCTTGGTCCTGCACTATCCTCACAAGTGTTCTTATGTTTGAGCCCACTGTTGTAGCCACTGTGGCAATCCATCGCCTTGAAGGCCTTCCTTATTTTTCTGCCCCGCTACTTTACCAAGCATGGGCCTCCCCAGACAACATGTCCAAAGTCTTGCCATCCTTGCCCCCACAGAGCACTCTGGCGGTGTAGAACAGCAAACGTATTTTCTTACAATAGTTCTGCAGGCCAGAAGTGTGACTTCAAAACATCAACAGGACTCGACTGTGTTCCTCTCTCCTGTCCACCCCCTTCTCTGATTATTCTGAGGGAAGAGCCTTCTGTTGCCCTGGGTGTTTCTTGGTGATCTTTGGTTTAGAGGTGGTCCTCACAAGCTGTCTGCCCCCTCGGGTGTGTGACTCTGTTTCTATAGCCTTTCTCACCTTTTGTAAGACACCACTTAGCAGGAGGGCCAGGAATCACCCTACTCCTGCATGAAAAAAACTAGTAAGAACACCCCTTATTTCAGTGGTTCTCAACCCGTGGGTCGTGACCCCTTTGGAGGTTAAACAACTCTTTCACAGGATCGCTCGATTCATAACAGCAGCAAAATTACAGTTATGAAGTAGCAATGAAAATAATTTTATGGTTGGGTGTCACCACAACTTGAGGAACTGTATTAAACTGTATTAAAGGGTCACGGCAATAGGAAGATTGAGAACCACTGCCTTATTCCAACACAAGGTCACATCAGTCCTGAGGTTAGGACTGAAACATGTTTTTGAAGGACACAATTCAATCCATATAATTTGTTACCATAAATTTGGAGGGAAGGGTGTATGCCTACATTTAATTTTAATGATCTTAATTAGCCCCTCTATTTTTTTCTTACAGAATTGGTTCCTAGAGCAGACCTTCTTGTAGAAAATGTGCCCTACTGTGATTCACCAACTCAAAAACAGTGACTCTCCTAGGATGGGGGCAAGCAGTTGTACTGTGTAATTTAGAAATATAGAACGTTGGAAAAAGTCCTGGAAATGTAGATCTTTTTCTCTGAGCTGGCAGATTGAAAATGAGTAAACTAAAGAATAATAACATCATACATCAATTTCAGGCTCAATGGGCCCGGACAATGCAGAACACCGTGAAGTGTTTCCAGTGGGTATTAGATAAGCAAAGACTCCATTTTCACTTAAAATCAGACTTTATAAGGTGAAATAAGTATGTCCCATTCACACTTCTTTACCCTGAGTGCAGCGTTTTAACCAGTCGGTAGGTTTCCCTCCTGGGTAACAAGAGACATGAAATTGGTCAAAGAAATGAAAGTGGCTTTTGTTTCTAAAGCACTAGAATTACTTCTGTAGCTGACCTGTACTTGTGTGGTTTCTTTTTAGGGACAGAGAGAATCTGCCTGCTTTTAAAGATACTGATATCAGTCTTCTGCCGGTAGATGAATACAGTATCAAAATCCCTGTGGAATAGACATTCTCCGTGTTTAGGAAATAGTAACCTGGGGTCAGGCTAGAATGTGCTTTAATGGAATTAGCTATAGTGAGGCCGCAGCTAGACCTTGTTGTGAACATGATGTATATGCTCTTCATTTTACTCAAGAAAATGGCCTTTCTCCTTCCACCTGTCCCATCCCTGATGAGATCAGCAGGGTCACAAAATGACCTTGCAGCCCATCATCTAAAGCTAGGAACTAAAAAATTGCATTTAAATGTTTCTTCTTTCTCTTTTATCTGTGCATCTTTACCATTGTCCGTGAGCAGTGTGTGCTTTCCCAGTCACAGATGATTCACCCAGTCAGTGATGACGCGTGGCTTTTAATGTTTACAAGATTCCCAATACAAGTTTTGCTTATTGGCAAAACTTACTGTTAAAAATGTCCATATTCGATGTTAAATGTCATGTTTGGAAATAATTTTAGAAGACCTAAAATTTATTAAAAGTGTTCACACCATGCATATTCATCTGTAAAGAAATCCTGGTGGTGCATTGGTTAAGTGCTCAGCTGCTAACGGAGCGGTCACTGCTTCAAACCCACCAGCCGCTCCTCAAGAGATAGATGTGGCGATCTGCTTCCATGAAGATGTATGGCATTAGCAACCCCATGGGACAGTTCTGTAACGTAGCTGTGAGTCGAGCTTGGTCTTTTTGGTTTCTACGTAACTATAAAGTACCCTTTTAATGCCTCTTAAGAGTTTTAATATCCATTAGTATTCTAAGACATAGATTATGTGCTAGAGCTGAAATTCTGCGCACGAGGTTTGCAGAAGGCTACGGTTTATAGTGGGAGCTAAATTGATTGTAAGTGTCCACACAAATTGAGCCTCCATTGAGTTCTTTCTCAAGCATTGTCTTCAGTCAGGGTGTGCTTGCTGAGACTCTGCTGGCCAGCCGAGGAGGGACAGTGTAGGCCTTTGGATCTGGCCTGGGCTTGCCCTTGATGGAACGCTAAGTACTGGGGTCACATGGTTACAAGACATAACCCAGCCAAAGTGGTTGGAGGGCCCTGAACCCATATCGTCATCTGCAATAGTGTTTGTATCCTAGTCATGTCCCTGTTCCATGCCTGATGTCCACCTGTGGCTACGATGAGTCAATCTGCCACCAGTCATGACTCTGGGACTCCTTCATGTGCATGCCCTCTGTAAGCAGCCACACGGCTGTGACTCCTTTGGACACTATTATGGCTTCAGATTGATGATCTCCTTCATCTGAATGATTCATTTTTATTTGTCTTTGTCCTTTGATTTAATAAATGGGTCGCTATAAAATATATTTGATGTAGGGTCCCTCTTTCCCCCCTGTATAAGTTCCCCGATTTGCTGTGATTGATGTTCGTATTGTGAATTTTGAGTAAAGTTGGCAGACATATTCTTCGTTCACATTTAAGCATCTCACTAGAGTAATTTTTTTTAACAAACTGGTTATCCTCAGGAGCTTGCCTTTAAGTCTTCCTGAAGGAAACTTTGCCTGATCCTGTGCAAAGTTTATGATCATGATTTGAGTCTATTGTTCTGACTTATTGTGTCAATCTATACTATTGAAGTTTTTCCTCATCTCTGTTGATCCTCTGGTGCGTTCCCAAATGCACCAGCCTTTTCTATTGATTGGACTTCCCTGATGCGTTAGAGTTTAAATTCTGAGCATCCTGGTTTGCAAAGGGCTATGGATAACAGTGAGAGCCCCAAATCCATTTGCAGAGTCCCCACATAGATTGCATTTCCATTCAATTCTTTCTGTTCATTGACCAAGGATGTAGATAATCCTACCCTCAGGATTGGAAGTAGGGAGTGCCTTGAAAAGTAGGTTTCCTCCACCCTATACCAGTCAGCCCGGGAGGAGCAGTCTCTCTTGGGGGCTTGCTGGGGCGTGACCCTGATGGACAGCACTGGCGGGGGTCACATAGTCTTGAGCCAGTGGAACATAAGCCTTCTCACCATCAGCCCAATCAAGGTGCTGACCTTGGCTATGTCAATAGCAGAGCTTCTTCACAGCCTCTTTGGTGCTTGTTGGCGTTGACATTCACACTGAACACAAGTGTGCTGTTACCTTCAGTCTTCTTCATGAAAGACTCCGTGGTCAAGGAGACCTTGATGAAGGCATAGAGCGCCAGCTTGTGTCTCCTGGGGACAGTCTGAGGGTATTTGGCTGCCTTCTTAGCCTCAGAATCTTGGGCCACCAGAAGGTGGGTGACCTGCGGATCTCCTTTTTTTGTGTGTGTGCCCCGTCCCCAGCTCCACTTTCTTGATCTTTAACGCTTTTACTTTGGCTTCCATTTGGGACGGGGGTGGGAGGGGTGGGGGAGTGGGAGGGGGAGCTTCCTTTACCTTTAGCACCATCTTCGTAAAAAAGGTGAGAATTTGAGGGAGGTTTTCTTTCATTTTCTCCAATGTGGCACCATCTATTGTGTCCCTGGTCAGAACTGGAGCCATATTTTCCTCAGTTGTTTGCCTGACAATGCTACACAAGCACTTGGCTGCCAACTGCTCTCTGGGATGAAAGATCTCGTGATCTGTTTGAAAAGGTGAGAGCCAACCAAACCCCGTGGAGCAGTTCTGCTTGGTCTCATGGGGCCACTGAGTCAAAATGATCTCAGCTGCTCCTAACCCCAACAACAACCCTGAGTACACACCTATTAGGATCTGTGTCGAAGACCACAGTCAGTTGGTTTTACACAGTCAGGAAAACACAAGTAAACATCTTTCTGGCATTCTGTTTTCAGTCTGATGTCATTGTCTTTGCCATTCCTAGCAGGCTCCCTCCACCAAAGTAGTTTGTCCTAACAAGGTGGCTTACGGTGGGCCCTGTGAGCCAGTGCATGGGGAAGAGAGGAAGTTAGAGTTCACGTTCCATCATGCGGGCCATGAATCGATCGATCATGCCTACCTAATAAAGACTCACCAAAAACTGCACAGCAAAAGGCCCCAGACTGGGTCTTTTGCCTTGGCTTTTTTATTCCACTGTAAAAATAAATGTTTGTGTATGCATGCTTCTATAATGGACAGTCCAATTCGTACAGGTTTTTTGGTATCGCAGATCAATTTGGCTACAAATACCGTGTGTTCGACCAGGTTGTCTAGCGAAGCTAATCCAGTGACGCTCTTTGTAGGAGAAAGGGTTTGATAGCAGGGAAGTCATTCTGTATCGAGAAGGCCTCCCAGCCCAGTCCAACTCAAGTCCGTAAGTCTATGGCTAGCCCATAATACTCTTCAGGTTCACGTAGCCACGTGCTGCTGACGCTGTCACAGAATGGTAAACTGAAGCAGAGTCAGCATGGATCCAAAGTTGGGATGAAGATGGCAGGGCACTGGCAGCTCCCTGTGACAATGGCAGAGCCCCAAGTAGCAGGAAAGCAAAAGGGCAGAGAAGTTCCCAGTTTTCTTTGCTTATAAGAAGGCCACCCCCACCAAGGAGGCATCATCAGGCTATAACCTGATTGACAGGTTGGATTGCACCCCTATACTTTCATACATCTGGAAGTTGACATAAAATCATGTACCACCTACCAGCGTTGAATTCTGCACCCATGTAGGAGTTTAATCTGACTACATAGCCAGTAGTAGAACTGTGAAGTTATGAAGTATGTACATACTTAACTTTGCCAAGAAAACTTAAATTGCTCTACTAAGTTGGTTGCAAAGGAGCCCTAGAGGTGTGGTTATGTGTTGGGCTGCTAAACACATGGTCAGCAGTTTGAAACCACAATCCAGCGGGAGGAAGATGAGGCTTTCTACTCCCAAAAGAGTTAGTCTCAGAAACCCACAGGGACAGTTCTACCCTGTCCTGCAGGGTCAGGAGTCAGAACTGACTCGATGGCAGTGGGTTAAGTTGGTTGTATCAGTTTACATTCCAACCGGCAGCTTGTGAGAAGTCCCGTTTCTCCACATCCTCTGTTAATGCTATAGAAGACTTCCTCGTTTTTTGTTAAATTGTTGAACATGAGATTATATAATTTCTAATTGCATTCCCTGGTAACTAGTGAGGTAGAGCATCTTGTGCTTAATGGCCTTATGGTTTTGTCCATTGTGAATGCATGTCTATATTTTGGGCCTCTTTTTCTTCATTGGGTTGTATTTTTCTTATGATTCTTTATATATCAGTTTCAAAAATTCAGGGGGAAAGTTCCATTATCTTTTTTTTCCTATTTAGTCCATTTTATCTTTTATATTTTTGAAACTTTTTAATTGTGATTTAGATGAAGACTTAGAAGATCATAGGTTTTACATTCGATAATACATACACATTTTGTTTTAACTCATCCACTTCAATCCCTTCAGTGTACCATAACTTATCCTCCCCAAAGTTCCTATTTCCTTTCCACTTCTCCTAGCCCTCTGTCCGTGGGTAAACACTGCCCCTGTGATCTTATGTGGTGATGATTCTAACATGGGGAGGGAGTTCAGTTCTAGACCTGGGTCCCAGCAGTCTTTACCTGACCAATAAGACTAGTCTCTTTTATGATGTTGAGTTCTATGCCACATTTTCTCCCACTTATTTCAGAGTAGTTAGTAATAGCACTAGA